ATTCCTTATACTAAAATTAAAGAGATTTTGAAGAGGTTTTTAAACTATATTTCAGGGACACTGATAACATAAATTTGCACCTTTCCAATTTTCAAGCAGATGTCTATTACTGTCAATGAAGTTGCTAATAATAAAGGCCTCTGTGATATTTGCATCATAAAATCCTTAGTTTAAGTGATAAGAGTTGACGTTTAAAAAAAACTTCTTTGCAATCCCTTAACTTAGTTTTCTTGGAAAAATACATGTCCACAAATGGGTCTCATAACTGAGGCCCCATGTGCTACACTTAATTTAAACGAAAATTAATCATATCAATGTCCCTGATACACATTAGAAGTATTAATCTCTTTACAATCCCTTAAATATCACTTAAAATGGTCAGGCTTCAGTGGAGATTATATAGTGAGTTCTACTCTGGTTTATTTTCATTATATAGCCTATCATAGCTCAAGTATATCACCAGTATAAACTATAAATACAGCTATAAATATCTCACATGCAAAACACCCACAAGGTCATGATGATTGTCAGGTCAAGGGTCAGATGAGGTCAAACAAACAGTGTTGGAGGAAATTGAATGACCAGTGCTGTAGGTCAATGACCTGTGTGAAGAGCTTTCTAATGAATAAGGTAGATTAGTGTGTATGGAGAATAGGCCTGCTACTTGATAACGTTTATTATAACAGATCTGGCTTTTATTGCCACCATTTATTTTATTAATCATGGTTTTGATTGTATTTATTGGATGAATAAACTTCCATTTTGATTTGATTGTAATGGATACCAAGTAAATTGTGGAATTGGAAATTAAAAGGTAAAAGAAAATTTGTTTCGATTTTATGGATTTTTGAGGTTTTCAACATAAATTCTGCCATTTATTTTATTAATCATGGTTTTGATTGTATTTATTGGATAAACAAACCTTCATTTTGTTTTGATTGTAATGGATACCAAGTAAATTGTAGAATTGGAAAAAAAAAGGTAAAAGAAAATTTGTTCTTATCTTTGTTTTTTTGTAAAAACTTTAACTATTAGATCTTGTGAGAATTATTTATTTCAATTATCGATTATAATCTCTTCTTTCTGTGATAAAAGTGTTAATTTACACTAGAATATTTTGCTGTCATTGGCTCTGTATTTCTTTGAGATGAAATATGGATACAAGTAGTTACTAGAAAATGCTGTAGAAACATAATTGGCGATAACTGAGATCAAAGTGTTCATTTACACTTGAATTTGATTACATTCACAGTTTTTTTGCTAAACAAAATAATGTGAACAGAGTGATAATTATACCATATTTTTCAGCATTGTTAAAACTAACAATATATTACTAAGCTAACCAGCACTTGTAAATGAATAGTCCTTGCTTTGGACCTAGGCCCGTGCTTTCTGTGAGTTAAATTCTCATTTCACCTTAACACCAAATAATCAATAAAAGCCTTTGGGGTTAAAAACAAGTGGAAAAATATGAAAGTGCCATCACCACATAGGGCATGATGAAACCTTGGGCTTGACTTTCTCTGATCATCTTCTCACTTGTAAAGAAAAAAGTAAGAATGTTCTCTTCAGTTATGTTAGTGCAGAAAGGTCATTTAAGGCATTAGGTTTGAAATTGTAATCAGAAATATAGTGACACTATAATCTGGTAAAATATTTCTTGAAATAATAAATTTTAATGGTGAAACTCAGTGTTTATTGAGTACCAGTATCTTCAATACTGAACCAAAAAAAAAAAAATTTAATCTGAATCCTTTTAAAGATTTGTCATAAAATATTCGTTTATTTAATAGATTGCTAAGAGGTTTTCAAAAATTTGTATGTGTTGGGGACACTGAAAGCATCGATTTGCACCATTCCAATTTTCAATCAGACATCTGTGGTTCTTACAATTCCACACCAAACTAAGTGTTTGATGACATCACTAATTGCGAATTAGCAGCTGTTTAGAAAACTTCTTTACAATCCTTTCAATCTGACCCCTTCTGTTAAATATTAGTGCATTAAGGTCACACTTTAAGGATGTTGATTTGATATGTTTGTTGATATTTTTGAAGATATTGAATTTCATAACCTGTTCAACAGGCTTAAATATCTCAAACTAAGTCAAGCTGACTTTTCACCACTTTGATTAGTAGCTTTCATCTGGCCGAGAAATCTTGACCGTAGTCTACTTTGTGGACAGAGCCAAGAATTAAGTATAGGAGAGACTTGTCCAAACCAAAGGTTATCTGATATCTAAAACCTGCATCCCGTGGAATTTCTTAGGAAAAGGATTTGAATATACTAATATCTTGAGGAAAGTGTTAAATCTTACTCTGAAACTGATTTTGAAAACGCATCTTGCCTTTGAACAAGTTAACCAAGTAAAGACTAGAAGAACTTGACTACACGATCTACCGGTATTTGATATACATGCGCCTTTCATATTGTGTGGTCCAGCACTAGTGGTTGCCAAGGGACAAGGAAAGACTAGGGGTCCTTTGAAATAATCTAGTGAAAATTTCATGACATTTTCATATTGATATGTATTTTGTTTGGATGCCAAGTCAACTAAATAAAGACTAGACAACCTTGATTTGATAGCTATTAATACATATACCAGGTTGGTCTCTTGAAAATGCCTAACATTACCAGAAAGACTAGACAACCTGGACTACATCATAGCTTTAATAGTTATCATTACACAGGATTGACCACTTGGTGTGTTCAAAATACCTAGCGCTACTTACGCAGGAAAGACTACATAACCTTGACTATTTGATAGCTATCAATATGCCAGATTGACCAGTTGGTCGTAGAGTATAATAAACCAAGGCTATTGATAATAACCCACCAACACAAGCAACTATACTATCAATATATGATGACCTTGAATGAGAAATGACCTCTACACAACAGTCTTTGACCAATCATCATAACACCATATCATTATATACTTATCATAATACTTGGCTTGACCGCTACAGTACATATAACATGTTTGTCAGCGTAGTTGTTTGAGTTGAGAATTCACATGGCTTAACTACTACAATTACATCATGTATTTTAAGATGGGCAGGCCCTGTGTGCTACAGACTGCGCACGTTAAAGATCCCTCGACAGTTGGAAATCAAAAAAAGAGCTGGCTTATGCCACTGTCCTGGCAAAATTTTCCTCATTGCACCCTGCATGGCATTGCCTGTCTTCATTAGCCCACATGGTACAGAAAAGCATTTCATTTCATTTTATAAGATGGTCAGTGGGCATGTTAAGGTAGTAATTTTTGGGCCATGCCACACCCCAAACCCCCACCCCTCAGGTCCTTTCCTTTGATTTTATTTCATTTCTCAGACAAAAAGCTAAACATATTTAGACAGAAACAATTGACAAGCAAATGTATATTTTTAGATGTACCCTACATACAGCTGGGTCAACTGGATTAATGAGGAAAGATAACTTATTCAGTGGCAGCTGCAGGGTCGACTGCAAAGTAGAACATTTGAGCTCAATTATTTTCCATTTAATTTTATTTCAATTGTCCGACAAATACATAAAGTTTAAACATCTTTTAGGATTTAATTTCATTTGTGAAAATTTTGCATTATTTCATTTCTCCGATAAAAGGTTTAAACTTATTATTTAGACAGAAAACCTTGATAAGAAATTGTATATATTTAGCTGTCACCTACATATAGATGTTCAGGTCAGTTAAAGGGATTGTAAAGAGGTTTTCTAAAGTTTCCATGTGTGTATCGGGGACACTCATAGCATCAATTTGCAACAATCCAATTTTCAATCAGACGTCTGTGGTTCCTGCAATGTCACAAATATATGTGTTTGATGACGTCTCTAATTTCAAAATTTACATTATCACTCTTTGGGATTAGTGATGTCATCAAACAGTTAGTTTTAGTGGAATTGCAGAAACTACAGGCATCGGATTGAAAATTGGAATAATGCAAATTTATGCTATCAGTGTCCCCGATACACTTAAAAATTTAGTAAACCTTTTTACAATCTCTTTAAATTGGTGAGAATATCATTGGGTTTCTGTCAGTTAATTTGATCAGATTGTCAGTTTATTCTGGGAGAAAATAGTTGCTAGGGCAACAATGTCATTTCTATAGTTTCAATGATTGTCATTGTCTTAAAGATTTCAATGTTGGTATCAGATGTCACAGATTTTTTCAAGTTGTTCCCACGAGTCCTGGAATGATTTAAGTTCTGAAATAAGTTCCTGATGGAATGGTTCCATTGTAGTCATGGAAATCTGATTAAAATGTGAAAATAGATAAGGTGTAGTGTCAAGTGCGGTGTTCGGTACAAGATTATTGATATGTACAGTGGAAAATAATTCCGGCATGAGCTACATTATCTTTGTCTTATACCTTGAATGCAAAAGCCACCTTTCGTGTGTAACTGAAGTTTGATTGATTTGTATTTTAAGCTATAATATTTACAGTTGGTCTATTGAGGACTTTGATTTGCTGTATTTTCCGGTGTATAATCCAATCAAATGTCTCCATTACTGATACAAGAAAGGTGGTTATTAACGTCAAGGTATTAGAACAAAGTTTGTAATAGCTTGACCTTGTGAAGATAAATATTTGTCTGGACTTATTTGCTTCTTCTGTTTTCAACTGTTTTGATAATCCTGGTTTAGGAACTGATTAAGGTTTGAATGAATAACTAAGATTTATTATAAAATGATATCGCTGATGATGTCAACCTCGACAATTTGATTTTAGCCATTGACCAATCAAATTACTGGAACTGTATAATCAACAGTTACCTCCCTTCCTGTTCCTCAGACGTAATATACCTATACTTGACGCTATCCCAGCCATATAGCTCGTCCAAGATCAGGTAGCACCAGATTTGTTCAGCTATTTAGTATATAAAAATAAAATTGGATTTTTTATATTTTTCAGATGAATGGTGTAGCTTTATCATAGATGTAGATGAACGATATAACGTTATTATCTGCGGCCTCGTTGTCGGGGGCGACGGCCACCATATCAGCAGCCTCCCCGGGTAAACCAGGCAGTAAGTCTCCACACTGTAAAGTTTGTGGGGACGAATCCTCAGGGTTCCATTATGGAGTGGATTCGTGCGAAGGATGTAAGGTATGTCAAAAAAAATTTAATCGACAGAAAAATGGCTTTTTTCCCTGGGCCCAATGATAATTTCAGGAGGCACGGTTTCCCAGTGCCCTTAGCCCAAGAGCAACAATAGACTTATGTCTACGAAGCATTGTCAGAGGCTTATGTTCTGCAAGCTGTCCATGTAAAAGATGCCCCAACTTGTTGTAGAGGGCAGTTTTCAATAGCCCAGTCTGTTTCGAAAAAGTAGGGTGCCAAATTTCATCTCTTTTTTCCAGGGATTTTTTCGACGCTGTATCACCCAGGGTATGACACATAAATGTGCCAATGAAGAAAAATGTGAAATTACGCCTTTTACACGGAATAGCTGTCAATTCTGTAGATTGAGAAAATGTTTCGAAGTTGGAATGTCAAGAGAAGGTAGGCTAAAACTTTGATTTTATTCCCTTTATCATCGTACCCATCATAACACTATGTTGTTATATCACTAAAATGTTTTCGTACCATGTGCTTTCATTAAGTCTTGTCTTAAAACGTCTAAGTTGTTTTGGTAACACGAAAAAATTTAAGTGTTTTGTGAAGTTGTTTCCGGAAACACAATGCTCTTTTCCAAACACTTAAATTGTTTTCTGCAACACTAAGTTGTTTTCGAAACACAAAAGCTGTTTTTGTAACACTGAAATTGTTTTCCAAATAACTAAGTTCTTTTCAAACACTAAGTTGTTTTCCAAAGTTGTTTTCCAAAGTTGTTTTGGTAACACTTCAGTTGTCGTGGAAACACTAAATGTGTTGTGAAGTTGTTTTCAGAAACACAAAATTGTTTAACTAAGATGTTTTCCAAATATCTAAAGTTGTTTTCAAAACACAATTTTCTTTTCAAAACACAATTTTATTCAACTAATTAAACTAAAGTTTACACTGGGTTCAACTATATTGAGGTTTTGAAAGACAGAAATAAAAGTTTTAGAATATATCAATAAATATTTAAATAAATCATTACGAGTCCACTGTGAATTTGATGGTTTAATGTGGTTTTATTGTTGTAATATCTATATACATTATTGATGAGACTTAAGCAATCAATATCTCAATCATCATAATGAATTTGTCATTGTCATTGATCTTCTTTTGATCAAGTACTGGACTGGACTGTACAATTGTTAGCTTTTTAGTAACTGTTGTCAGCTAATGAACTATTGTCAGCTTTTAAACTTTGTTGTACAATTGTCAGCTAACAGACTCTGTTGTACCTTTGTCAGCTTATGGACTCTGTTGTACAATTGTCAGCTAACAGACTGTTGTACCTTTGTCAGCTTATGTCATCTGAAGTGTTGCCAGCTTATGGACTAGTTGTACAATTGTCAGCCAAGAACTTGTCAGATATGGAATATTGTCAGCTTATCATCTTCCCCTCTTAAGTTGTCCTATCTTGTGGAGAAAATAAGGATGTAAAACTCCATGCATTTCATAACATTAAGCAATGACTTCAGTGAGGAAGTAAATCCCAAGACTAAATTTTTTAAAGGGATGTCGCAACTCACAAAACAACTAATTCATTTCTTATTTTCAACACTAAGCAGTTGATTGAATGAGTATATCCCTTGTGTAACTATTTCGAAAGTGACGGCAAAAACTATAATATATCTGACATTATGCTTGTCATTATGTTTACTGCCTCTGTCAAATGATAAACTGGCCAGCAGGGAATTTTTAATCTCTTTCTTTTCAAGCATTTTGACTGATTTTCTGATTTTTCAAAAGAGAGAGAGAGGCCATTACCTACATCATCTTCGCAATGTCAAGCTAGGTTGGTTTGTAGATGATAAGTTAATGTTCGTTAAATGTCAAGCTGTTGCAAACTTAGTACTTATACCTTGACTGCAATAGTGAGCTTTCTTGTATCATAGAATGCAGCGATTTGATAGAAAATACAGCCAATCAGAGCTGTTGGCAGAAGGACTGTTAACATTTTGTCTGCATGTAATCAGTAATTAGGAACTCTGATTGGCTGTATTCCCTAACGCACAGTCCAATCAAATGACTGTATTTACAAACTTCTGTAGCACAAGAATATTGGCTATTGCAGTCAAGGTATAAGATGACGTTCATAATAGCTTGACTTTGTTCAAATCTGCCTACATATACTTTGCTTAAACACTGAATTAAGCTAGCACTATCCTGGATTTCATAATGGTAAAACATAAATTCCCAAAACTTGGTAATTATCCTTAAAACTAGGTGTGATTTTTGGAATTGAATTCTTTTTTCCAAGGTGGCACCTTTTTAATAGTCAGTATTCTATTATATTCAGTATGATTGAAATATATAATAGTTAGATTATAAAATTGTCTCTGAAGGCGCGACAAAATTAGTTTAGATATATTTATAATTTGGTATAATTGTAATGTCTGTCTCCATAGAGTTAGAACATTACCAGAAATAGTGGGCCTATCTTTTGTTATAATCTTCTAATGCACTTTTAATTGTGTTGCATTATAGTCTGTTTTAACATTGTAAATCTTTATCTATTTAATATAAGATTTAAACGACAAATAGAAGCCAGGAGCACATATAATAAAACACAAGACAATATTATGGAATATAACACAATTCTTTAATAACGTTGGGTACATAACGTTTCAACACAATATACACGTGTCTTCATCAGATGTAATGCCAAGAGAATAAAACATGACACAATATATACCAAATTTCTACCGTGTTTCACTATGGCAATTATATTTTGTATCATGGTTTTAGGTAATAAATATTCATATCATGCTAAGTAAGCCTTTGAAAGTCATAAAAAAATCTGTACAAGCATGACAGATCTGTCAATCAAAGATCTTGTCCTAAGAATGGCAAAATGGAGGGTAATAGTTATAGACATTGATATATATATATATTCACAAGAGACAAGTGATCTGGGTTTGAAATTAAATAGTAGGTAATGTTATTGTCATGACAACATTTCCCTGATTGCACACTGTATGACATTGCCTCTCTTAATTAGCTTAGTAGGGAACTCCTCCTAAGAGAAGTACCATCAGGTGTGAATAGAATAAAATGTCCTATGCCTTGAACTCCATGTAAAATGACAGAAAGTTAATGTTGTGTGATGTCACTTGGTAACAGCCATGCGGAAATGGATAATAGTAAAATGACTGCCAGACCTTTTGGATCTTCAGTCAGACATGACTGGCATTGAGTCCTCTGCTCTGTATGACAGTATAGTAAAAATCAATGATATATATACGATGTGTATACGAGCCATAAGAAACTACATCTGATTAAAAATTTGAATGGTGTAAATTGATGCTATCAGTGTCCTCGATAAACACATAGAATTAAGAAAATCTCTTTACAATCCCTTTAATTGTATAAAAGCCTGGTGAAATCTGTTTGTTTTTAAGTGAAAAACTCCCTCAAATTCAGTGTTATTACCACTGGTATAAATTGTCGAGTCCATGATGGCGCTAGATGATAGAATTGACTGCCTACATGTCTGTTGACTTCATTCTCTTAACATTTGATTTACACCTACTTTATATTATTTCTATTAAATTGTGTGTCACATGAGATTGTGAAAACTGAACTGCAATGAAATTAACTGCCTCCATGTATTTAGTTCATCATCAAAGAAGGTTTATCTCATGTTAAATTGCCTACGAAAACTACTGAAGGTTGCCTACATGTCTGCCTACATGTTTATTCATTTCATCATCCTAGTATTTGATATACGCCTACTTAAATCATGGCCTTTTGTAGATATAAAAGATTGTGAAAGCAGATAAGCAATGATATTGTCTATATATATTATTTCATCATCAGAAAAATGTACATCAGAAGTTGTGAAGCCTCCATATTGGTGCTAGATATGACAGCCTTCATATAACTGTTTCCTCATCTGGCTATTTTCCATACACCTACTTGAATTTAACATTAAATGTAGAGATTAATTTGAAATGGATTGTTATATCCTGAAGACATTGTGCGATTTTTGTGCAGTTTTACTACAAATTTAAGACTCAAATCAATACCTTGAAAACTGACGAACCTTGGTCTCATATGATGATGGGTAATGCTTTACAGTGTGCAATGAAGCAAGATATGTGTGAACACAAGCACAAACCTACTCTTTTTCACTTTTAAACTTGTCAGAGCTGTTGCAGTGTTTTACGAAAGTCTGGAAATCACCAAAAAAAAAAACAGAGGAAATATATTGAAAAATATAAAGCTATGGTGCTGGTTTAAATTCTTTCATTGATCACTGCAGGATGTTGTGATCAGATTTATCCTGAATAGAAACAGAGAAGAAAGGGTGATACTCCATTTCTCTTCCTTGAGTATGTCATTATGTTCTAACTTTCTGCCCTTTTCTGACATTTTGCTTTGAAAACAAATCACAATGAATTACAACGAACTAGATTGTGTTCATGCTTGTCATGTAAATAGAAAAATAACTCCTTCATCATTTGCCTTGACATTTTTTTAGATTCAGCAACTTTTGATCTTTCTGTTATATTCTGGGAAACAAGTTATTTTTGATGATTTGTTCTGTCATTTCAATAATAGCTTCAATTGAATGTTTGTTAAAGGCATGTGCTCCATTTTTATGTCCTGAAACGGGATTTTTTTTGTAGCTAGCTAATCAATAATAGTGTTCACAGTTTAATATTGAAATTTGAGTCTTCAAATCCACCTTTGTCCAGAATTATCTGCGTTTGAATGTTAAATAATGACTCGTAATTTTAAAATACTGTGTGATACATAGAAAAGACATATATAGAAATAGTGAGTAAAATTGCTAGCTAAAAGTATTTTTTAAAGGAATTATGTGATTTTCGTACATTTCTAGTACTTCTGAAGACTACTTAAAAACATTCAAGACTTCAATCAACCCTCCCAAATGCCGCATCTGTCCCTTTAAATGATAATCTCAGCAGAAAAAGGAGCAAATTTTTTCACTGAAAATGGGTAATATTGGTGCAATAAAAAGAGAAATAATTTTTTGGATCACAGTATTTATGTCTTGATAATCACTTAGTAATTGTGTAGTAATTCTCATAAACCCAAGTTTTTTCACCAGCAGAAAAAACACAAAATGATACAGATTAATATAAATCAATATTAATATTAGTATGAAATAAGATCTTTTAAATTGTCAGGGTTTTTAATTAATTTTTTGCTGAATTCCAATTTTATTGATTTTTTTGAAAGATTTTGGATATAATTTTATTAAATTGACTGAGTGGATATAATTTGATCTATTTTTATCATAGTTTGATAGTTTGCATAATGCTTTGATTACATGCTATTAAAGATGGGTTCCCTTATTTTTTATTTATGAAAATGAAAATGCTAATACTTATGTGAATAGAAAGTAGAGGTGTTCTTATGACTTGGAAAAATACCAGTT